AAAAAAAAAAAAAAAAAAGATGTTGTGATGATGACCTACCTGTATCTTGATCACCAGAGAGCACACCAGCCTGGACAGCAGCACCATATGCTACAGCCTCATCTGGGTTTATGCCACGGGATGGTTCCTTGCCATTGAAGAACTCTTTAACCAGTTGCTGAATCTTTGGAATTCGAGTAGAGCCACCAACAAGAACAATTTCATCAATATCAGACTTCTTCAAATCAGAATCTTCCAACACTTTCTGGACAGGCTTCATAGTAGACCGGAACAGATCCTAGAAAAAAAAAAGTTTCTGTGATGTCTGTTACCTAAGTATCTAGATGCAATGTCCTAAATTCAAAGCCTAACAAGATCTCATTAGCAAAGCAGAAAACAAGGAACATACCATGTTTAGCTCTTCAAATTTGGCCCGAGTCAGGGTCTCGGAGAAGTCTTCTCCTTCATAGAAGGACTCAATTTCAATTCTTGCTTGATGTTGAGAAGACAGGGCCCGTTTGGCCTTTTCTACCTCACGCCGGAGTTTCTGCACGGCTCTGTTGTCTTTCCTGACGTCTTTGCCAGTCTTCTTTTTGTACAGCTTGATGAAGTGTTCCATGACACGCTGGTCAAAGTCTTCTCCACCCAGATGAGTATCTCCATTAGTGGCCACGACTTCAAAGACACCATTGTCAATGGTGAGAAGAGACACATCGAAGGTTCCGCCACCCAGATCAAACACCAGGATGTTCTTCTCCCCTTCCCTCTTATCCAGGCCATAAGCAATAGCAGCTGCCGTACTATTAGGAGAATGAAAAAGGGAAAAGTTTTGCCAGTAGTTCACATTCCCACTATTTGACAAATACGCCGTATCCCTGAATTTCATACTTACGGCTCATTGATGATCCTCATAACATTTAGCCCGGCAATAGTTCCAGCATCTTTGGTTGCTTGGCGTTGGGCATCATTGAAATAGGCTGGTACGGTAACAACTGCATGGGTAACCTAAAAGGATAAAAGATAGTTAAGTGTATTGTCACACAGTTTAACCCTTATTTAAATTATAGTCTGGCCAAGCGCAGTGGCTTGTGCCTATAATCCCAGCACCTTGGGAGGCTGAGGCAGAAGGATCACCTGAGGTCAGGATTTCAAGACCAGCCTGGGCAACATGGTAAAACCCTATCTCTTCTGAAAATACCAAAAAATTTTAAAAATTAGCCAGTAGTGGTGGTGCGCCTGTAGTCCCAGTTACTTGGGAGGCTGAGGCAGGAGAACTGCTTGAACCCAGGAGGCAGAGGTTGCAGTGAGCTGAAATCATGCCACTGCAGTTCAGCCTGGGCAACAGAGCAAGACTCTGTCTCAAAAAAAAAAAAAAAAAAATCACTTTAGTTTTTACATCAAACCATCACTTTATCACTTTAGTTTTTAAACCTGTTTATTGATGAGTGTGTAATATGTAAAATTTTATGCCCCTGGAATTGTAAGCATTAAATTTTACATGAAAAGTCTACTATTTTGTTTGGCCTGTAGTAAAGCACTCAATAATTAAACCTGACAAACATGAATACCATTCAGATTAAAATTTATGAAACCATGAAGGCTTTTATATATCACAGCCAACCAAGAATATTGATCAGCAAAAAATACTTAACATTGTTCTAGAAATATTTACCTTCTTTCCCAAATAAGCCTCAGCGGTTTCTTTCATTTTAGTGAGAACCATGGCAGAAATTTCTTCCGGAGCAAATGTCTTTGTTTGCCCACCTCCAATATCGACTTGAATGTATGGTTTAGTTTTCTTTTCAACCACCTATTTTAAAGAATTATTATTTTCAGACACAGATGCAATGACATCTCAAAGTTTAAGAAGACCCACTACCCTCCCCACAATTTGGTTTATTTATTTTGGTCCCTTGGATCTGCAAATTGACTAGAAATACTTCAGGGAGTATAAGTGTCTAACAAAGTTCAGTTTTCATCGGTCTTTTATTCCTAAACTATTGTGGAAGAGTATGATAGCAAGTATACTATTAAGCTTATTAAAGTTATTACATACATCATGTCTATATCCTTCTACTGTTGCCTTAACACTTCTCCACAGACTTATAATTCTAAATACTCGCATCACCCACCCGTCCTCTAACCGGATGAGAAAAACCGGGTCAAACCTTGAATGGCAAGAATTTGATGTCCTGTTGCACAGACGGGTCGTTCCACGTGCGGCCGATGAGCCGCTTGGCGTCAAAGACCGTGTTCTCGGGGTTGGAGGTAAGCTGGTTCTTCGCGGCATCGCCGATCAGACGTTCCCCTTCAGGAGTGAAGGCCACATAGGACGGCGTGATGCGGTTGCCCTGATCGTTAGCGATGATCTCCACGCGGCCGTTCTTGAATACGCCAACGCTGGCAAAAAATCCGACAGGAGGACATCAGCTCGGCACTTCTGACGCCAGGCCAGGGGGCCACGCCCCGTCCCCCGCATCCGCAAACCCCACTTACCAGGAGTAGGTGGTCCCCAGGTCGATGCCTACCACCGTGCCCACGTCCTCCTTCTTGTCCTCCTCCTCGGCCCGCGCCGCGCCAAGCAGCAGCAGCATCGCGGCCACCAGGAAGAGCTTCATCTTGCCAGCCAGTCGGGCAGCAGCAGGCAGGGCGTCGCAGGCAGTTCAGCCACAGGCCGCAGCACAGGAGCGCAGCGCAGTTACCGACCTGCAGGTGGCAGGGTCCCGGGGTCACAAGGCTCCACGAACCAAGAGAAAGGCAGGTCTGGAAATGCAGGCCGCAGCGCTTACCTCTCACACTCGCGAAACACCCCAATCAACCCGTCTGTCTGTGCTGTCTCGGCCGGCGTCGACCGTGCGGTCGCCTGCCCGGCTTATATACCCTCCCTCCAGCCCCGTCGTGGAGGCCGCCGATTGGTGAAGGCACTGCTTGGTGGAGGCCGTTGATTGGCCCAGGCCACCAAGCTGGCTGCCGCCGATTCGAAGCGGCCTCCTCCGCAACAAACGTCACTGCTCCGCCCCCCCTAGCGGATTCATTGGCTGGTATTCGTTCCCAATGTAAACCAATGGTAGATAACATCCGCCCGTCCGCCGGTTCCATTGGTTCAGCAGCTGTCTATCCCTCCTGCGACTTCTCACCCCGAGGCATTTCCGCTGGTAATCGCCCGGGTCCCGCCTCCTGCTGGGCCCTAGGGGGTTCCGAGCAGATCCAGCACAACGCATCCCCCGGGGCTGTGGGACCTGAATCTTTTTCTTCTCTACTGCTTGTTCTCCCCTCCTCCATTCCTCATCCCGAAGCGAGAAGCTGCTTTCTCCTCCCAGGTTCCATCCAGTCTCTGAGTAGACCGGTCGCAGCTTAGATGCTGGGATCGCCTCAGAACACATTTATTTGCCCTTCACGGCCACTACCGTTAGGGTATGCGAGTCTCAGGGCCGTCTGTTGCTCACAGGTCGAGCTGGTCTGGACTCCGTTCGGCGACGAATCATGGCTCCTCCCTGCCAGTTATGTCCCCTCTGCATCCCAGCCTAGCCATTTTACCAGGCCTCTCCACATTGCCCTGCCCCACAGTAAGTCACAGGACAAGCCCAGCCAAAGGAGCTCTGAGTCCCTCCTTACTGTGGCAACGCTCTCCTAAAGAGTTTGCCAGTGCCAGCACTCCCACCTTGGATGTCTAATTTTTCTAGCTTGCCACCCTTTACTTTCCCCTCCGCTGCCCATCGTTTCCCTCTGGGGCTCAGGTTTTCATTTATAAGGCTTTCCTCGTCCTTTATTGTTGATAGTTTTCTACCTTCATTCCAGGAAAAGGTCTGATGTGCACACAGACAACACATTTGTTAGGCGAAAGTCGTCTTGTTAATGCCTTACTCTTGTGTAACATCTTGTTGCAAAAAAATGTTAGAGACCAGTATTTGCCGAAAGCCTACGGTGGACTAAGCATTTTTCAGTGCGCTTTCATGTGTCATTCAGTCTTGACAGTTCAATACTTGGTAGGCACTTCCCATTTTCCAGATGAGGACATTGAGACTGAAAAAGATTCAATAACTGAACGAGTCACAGGGCCGGGCGTGGTGGCGCACACCTGTGAACCCAGCACTTTAGGAGGCTGAGGCAGGTAGATCACGAGATCAATAGATCGAAACCATCCTGGCCAACATGGTGACACTCCGTCTCTACTAAATATACAAAAGTTAGCTGGGCGTGGTAGCACGCGCCTGTGATCCCAGCCACTCGGGAGGCTGAGGCAGGAGAATCGCTTGAACCCATTTGGTGGAGGTTGCTGTGAGCCGAGATTGCGCCACCGCCCTCCAGCCTGGAGACAGAGCGAGACTCTGTCTCAAAAAAAAAAAAAAAAAAAGTCACAGAGCTGGTGAGTGAGTTAGGATTGATAACCAGGTGGACTTCACTCTATTACCAATACTTTCTTTTTTTTTTTCCACGGCAGAGTATGGCTCTGTCGCCCCCCAGGCTAGAGTGCAGTGGTGTGAACTCAGCTCACTGCAACCTCCGCCTTAGGTTCAGGCGATTCTCTTGCCTCAGCCTCCTGAGTAGCTAGGATTACAGGTGCGTGCCACGACGCGCGACTAATTTTTGTATTTTTAGTGGAGATGAGGTTTCACCATATTAGCCAGGCCGGTTTCAAACTCCCAGGCTCAACTGATCTCTCCCCCTTGGCTTCCCAAAGTACTGGGATTCCAGGAGTGAGCCACTGCGCCTGGCCTCTTTAAAAAAAATTTTTTTTTTTTTTGCCGGGCGCGGTGGCTCAAGCCTGTAATCCCAGCAC